CTTTGAGATTCAACCGATTAATCTATAAATAAAAATCCAGTTGTTGTCCTTGTGGTTTTTGTAAAATCTTCTTTAAAAGTTGGTCGATTGACTGATGCTGATTATTAAATTGACCAATAAGAATGATCAAACCTTTAATTCGTGTTACCATTAAAGAGTTTAATTATCCCTTAAATCTATTGTACAAATTTGTACGATTAAATTTTTTTATATAGAAAAACATATGGGCCAATTTGTTCAATTGGCAAAAGAAAAAGTATTAATGACACATGGGCGTTACATTTTGATGATTATTATTTATTTTTAGATATACCTATTTATTAATTATATTTTAAAGATACAAAATATTTTAAAAATGTTATCCCAAATCAAGTATTTTCATCAGAAATATTTTTTATGATAATAAATAACAATTTAAATGTAAATCAATCAATAGGTGGAACTCATTGGTCATTATCAATCTATGTTAAAGGGCTTAATACATTTTTTCATATACATGTTAACAATTAAAATTAATAGAATGATATTTAGAGCAATTACGCTGCATCCTTCAACATCATCAATATTGTTGTCTCAACCAACATCATCAACATCAACATCATCAATATTATTGTCTCAATCAATAACATCTTCGTCAACATCATCAACATCAACATCATCATCAATATTGTTGTCTCAATCAATAACATCTTTGTCATCATCTCCTGAATCAACATCAACACCACCTTATCAACCAACACCAGTGGTATTAGTACAAATAAGTAATAAATATAACTGTATATTATGTGGTAAATGGTTGAAATCAAAAATTACATTAAGGAATCATGAAAACAAATATCATAAATTCAACAAAATAATTCCACATTTTTTCAGTTTTATCATCATCTAATGATATAGAAGAATTAAAACAATGTATTATAATCAACATTCAAAAAAAACTGGGATTCAATAGACATCATGTCGGTGTTGAGAAATATTTTGGAACCCTTTCCTGGAAATGTTTTTGCAATACTTTTTTTTCAAGAAGAAAATTTTTTTTATTATCCTATTAAAAGATACTATATTTGTAAATTTGAAAATATTGAAGGAAGGAATAATTTAAGTATAATATTAAATAATTATAAATGGTGGGAGAGAAAAAACAATGAAACTGGTACAATTTCTTTTGTTGTGATGGAGGATGATGGAGTAGTAAAACCAGAAATCAAATTTCTTTGGAGAGAAAAATTTTTAAATAATATGAAATGTGGATTTTGTAAGGTTGAGTTTAATGTGAATTCTAAATAAAATTTAGTTAATTGAATCAATTGGATTAATATGAATAATTTCTTTTTTGAATGATGAAGGTGTATTATTTTTTAGATAATATAATTGTCTATTCTCAAAATTTAATATTTTATATACAGCTGATTGTTTTTTTTCACCACCACCCATACAAGTAATTCCAAAAAACAAACAAACCTAAAAAAAAATTTATTAATTAATATAAAATCTTTTTTTTTTAAAAAAAAAAAATAAAGGAAATATTATATTCACATGATGATGACTCTTTTTTTCTACACTTGAAGAAAACAAACGCAATGATAATGCTTGATTTTTTAATTCTTTTAAAAATTGTGGTATATGCATGGCAAACACATGCATATAAGGAGTAACATCCTCACTACGATATATATTAGTAAATGTTTTAATCCATTGTTTAACATCTTTTTGAAAATTATCTATTTCAATATCACTCAATGCAGTTTTTCTAATTAATTTATACAAACATACAAATTCTCTCCACATTTTTTCTATGTTAATCCCCTTTTCATTATTATAAAATTTAGAAACAAGAAAAAATTCTAAAAATTTCAATTTATCTGATCCATTTAAGGTTGTCCAGTTGCATTTAGAACTTTTTAAATCATAAAATTCAAATTTGGTTATTCCAATTCTTCTGGTTTCTTCAATTATTCTATTAGCCATTTCATTTTCAAATTTTTTTAAATTTCTACAAAGATCTGAAAATAAACATTCTAATAATATATCTCTGATTCTAAGCATTAAGTGCAACTCATCTGGTATCCAGTTTTTATGATCAATCATAGGCAATAAACAATCATAATTAAAACCTATTTAAAAATTATTGTTAATATAATTTTATAATTTAAATAAAAATAATATAAACTTAAATATTTACTTTGTTTTTTTGTATTATAAGTGTTACTCCATTGAATATTCATATTTGCTCTTTGAAACTTTGAACAATCACAATAAAGACAAAAATATTCATTGGTGGGAGCTAAGGTTGTGGGAGAAACTCCTCCAGAAATCAATCGACAGAGTTTCGACAGGTTACACATTAATTGTTTATTAGAGTTTCGGCAGAGTTTCGCATTTGGGGTTTTCGCCAATCATCAGAGTTTCGACAGGTTACACATTAATTGTTCATTAGAGTTTTGACAGAGTTTCGACAGTCATTAAGAGGTTTCGCCCACAACCTTAGTGGGAGCTTTGATTCCATGAACTAATTGAAGAAATTTCTGATCAGCTGAAATAAAAAACTCAACATCCCAATGAAAATTATCTGGATCAATATATCCATTTGATTTTATATCTTTTATTTCATCAGTAAAATAACTCCAAGCAAGTTGTAAAGAATTTTTATTTTCTTTTCCAATATAAATACATATGCTAATTATATGTTAATTTTTATTAAAAATTTTTTTTTTAAAAAGTTATTATAAAAATATATTTACCTATGTTGATGATCTGGTTTTAAAACATTTTCACCTTCATTTAATAAGCAAAATGTTAAAATCACTTGATTTTGTTTCTTTCCGACCAAATGTCCATCACCACTTAATTTGATTTTCAATATATTATTAAAAAAACTAAATGTTGATGAACATTTTAATGGTGATATTAAAATATTTAAAATAGATCTTATTGATTGATATGCTCCATCTCCATCATATAAGCCTACACTTTCAATATTTTTTCTGCCTTGTCACCTAGTCACTCTTCTTCTAACAGTTTGTCCAGAATCATTACTTGTAATTTGTGTGATTAATTGATTTGCAGTATTAGTATTAATATTTTCATATGCATTATCTAATCTCATTATATTTGAAACTTTGTGCAAATGTTTTGAATCTGAATAGGCCTCATGAGATTTTCTTATATTCAAAATTTTGGCTACAATTGAAGAGCCATTAGTAAAAATATCTTCTTCAGGTTCTTTTTCAAGTACAAAATATGTAACAGTTGAAGGTTCATTGTTCAAAATGTATTGAATTTCCATTGAATGAACTAAATTATTTGAGTCATCTACAGCAGTGTATAAAATTCATGTGCACAACCTCCTTAAACTGTGCACAATAAGATAAATATTTTTGTGCAGACTCTCAACAAAAATTTTAAATATGGTGCACAAATTCAATGAGAAATTTTGCATCATTACATTTTTCTATGTATAATGCACAAAAAAAATCAAAAAAACTAAAATACTTACAATTTTTTGTGCATACATGCACAATTTTTAAACAACTTTTGCACAATTCCTCAAAAAATTTTGTACAACATGCACAAAAATTGATCGGCAAATTTTATACACTGTATGCAGCTACCTCTAATTATTGTGAAAAAATTTGGGCACATGGTAAACCAGATGAACTTCAAAATCATCTTGCAAGTGAATGTGACAAGTGTCCAGGAACTATCTGTGGTGAATTCATTGAAATCATTTCAAATTGGACATTAAAATAAAAAAATAAAAATCAATGAAGAACTTCAAAAAGAAGAGATTACAATTGCTAAATATTTTTTGTTAATGAATGATCAATTAATTATTCCTATTTTTAGCCATTGATGGTTGGAGTGATCCCAATAATAGAAATTTATACAATTTTGTACTCATGACTTCAGATAGA